TACAGCAATGGAAAGTTGACGAGCACAGTGTGGAGAATGGGGAGACTCGTGAGCGTGGTGGCTCACAGCGGTAATTCCAGAACTCAGGATGCTAAGGCAGGAGGGTTGCTGTGAGTGCAAACAGGCTTGGGGGAAGTAGTGAATTCCAGGATAACTTGGGTTACAAACCAAAAACCTGTTTCAACCTGTCTTCCTTTTCGTAACCCCCACTCCAAAAAACAAACACCTCCCCCAAAACGAAAAAGCTCCCCAAAGCATTTTAAAATATTTAATTTAATTAATTTAATTTTAATTAATTTAATTATTTAAAATATTTCATCGATACTATAAACTTTTGTTCCATGAAGGATTCTGTCAAGAGAATGAAAAGATGAACCCGAGACTGAAAGTGAATGGTTGTTTGACAAAAACTTACCTACAGAATGTATACTTCCACGATGTTTTAAAACTCCAACCTTCATGAAAAGTCACAGTCCATCTAGAAAAGGAGCCAAGATAAGAATGCACATCCTATCAGAGGCTGTGGAAGCATCAAAGGCATCTCCTCCGGTGAGATGTTCTTCACCAGCCCGTAGAGAGATCTGTCTGTCGCCACACTGGTCAGAACAGTTCACACGAACACTGGTGGGTACAGTATATACTGGAGAGACGGTGGAGTAACTGGGTCTCTCATACACAGCTACTGGGGAGCAGTCAATGACACGGCCACTCTGGAAAAGAGCTCGTCAAGTCCTTTTGAAATGAAAAGTGACGCTAACTAGAGAAAAAAAAGCATACGTATCTGTGCAGACATTTACACACAGCCTTATGGCAGTCCCTAAACACTACAAATTGTCCAAACGCCCTTTGGCATGTGTTTAAACTGAGATGTAGTCCTACTACAGAGTATAAGTGAGCAATAAAAATGGATGTGTTATTGATACTCATCATTTGTATGAACCTTAAGGAGATTATGTGAAGTGAAATATGCTAATTTCCAACAGCTATATTCTGGCCAATTTTACTTCAATAACAACTGCTGAACAATATTACAGAGAACAGACTACTAGTTGCTAGAGATCCCCACACAGGAGTGCTGCGACTCATTTCAATGTCTTAGAAATTATTACAATTCTTGGAGTTAAATTTTGTTAAAAATGTGTTTGATTGGGCAATCAGATGGTTCTGTAGTTTAAAAATAGTTCATGACCTCTTTAAATATTACAATTCTCCAAAAAGGTGTAAGGTAAAAAGTCTGGTGCTGGTATGGGTGGGGAGGGCTCAGGAAGATCCCCCCATTGATTGCGATGCTGCCAGGTGATGGTTGCTGGGCCAGGGGAAGTCAGTGCTCCCCACGGGTGTGAGTGCTTGCTTAGCACACACACAGCCCTGACACATAGAGATTTTACAACATAGATCAATTTTAAATTCTTTTACTTTATTTTTACTTAAAATAGAATTTTAAAATGTACTCGTTAGAACAGAAGAAGCAAGAAAGCATTAATCTAGTGCATGTAAAACATAATTCTCCACTGACATATTGGATTAGCATCCTAGAAACACATGTGCTATAAAGAACAGGGCACAGCTGTGTTCGAATTTCTGTTTTATGCATATGGAATTTTGTAGAAAGGAAGGATAGCGTTGCCTCCTGCCACACAGAGTGCATATTAAAAGGGCATACGTTTTCTTATTCTTCCTGATGTATTTATTTGGTTAGAATTCCAATGCCTGGCTTTTCTTGGGCCAGTTCAGAATTTGCTTGAAAATATTCCAGGCTGGGGGATTTTCGTACACTCTCTTGACCTTCAGTGTGCAAATAAAACTGATTCCTGGTTCACGATTTACATGCCATAATTTATAAATTGATTAGGACATGTGCACAAGAGGCTGGCTCAGTTGGTAAAGTGCTCACCACACAAGCTGAAGACCTGTGGGGACCCCCAGAACCCACATCAAAACCAGAGCGCAGCTGCACAGATGCTGCAGAGGCAGGCACGGGGGGATCCCTGGGGCTCCCTGCTCAGCCAGTCTAGCCAAACTGGTGAGCTCCAGGTTCAGTAAGCAGCTCTGCCACAAAAGTAAAGTAGGAAAAAACCAACCAAACAACCAACCAAACAAAAAACCCTGGGCGTGGTGGTGTATGCCTTTAGTCCTAATGTTTAGGAGGCAGAGGCAGGTGAATCTCTGAGTTGGAGGCCAGCCTGGTCTACATCCTGAGTTCTAGGACAGCCAGGACTAGGCAGAGAGGCCCTGTCTTAAGAAAGAAAGGAAGAAAGGAGGAAAAAAAGAAAGAAAGAGGGAGGGAGGGAGGGAGGAAGGTTATTGACAGAGTTATCTGACATTGGCCTGTAACTTCTACACACATGCCTGTTCGTATACACATATTAGAATGTACACACACACACACACACACACACACACACACACACATGGCTAAAAGCAGAAGGCATAAACATATCTCAGGAAATTCCTAGAACTGATTGTCAGGGTTCGTGTGTGTACATGTGCACTTTCTAAGAGGAGATTCCGTTCATGTATAGAGATAAAATTAGTTTTATTTACTTAAAAATTCTATTCATGAAAAGAATAGAGTGTTATACCTTTACTTTGAGTTAGTAACCTATTTTCCAAGGACATTTTGAGTCTGTATACTTTGCAGATCTCAGTTTGATTAGAGCCCTAAGTTCTCCTATCTGCAGCATCAGGAGCCACCTTAGTGCTAACTGCTAGCCAAAGTTTAACCTATAATTCACTCACCAGAGCCTGGCATCTCTTCCGTTCCTTTTCAGAGAGTGCCAGACACTAAAGCCAGCAAGCCCACTGATAAAGCCATGGTCTTTTGTTCTCTGAATTTTGGTGCTAACTTGGCAAGCTTGTTTCTGTTTTTGTTTTTGCAGCAAGAGGGTCTAAACCCAGGAACCTGGTACCTATCGGGGAGGGCTTGACCACTGTTTGAAGTACTAGAGTCTGAACCCAGGAACCTGGTATCTATGGGGGAGGGCTGGACCACTGTTTTACCCCCAGCCCTTTACTGTTGTGCTTTCCACCCATACGACTTTAGCTTGCAATGCATCTTTCATCCTGGAGCAGAAAACCTGTGATTATGTGTTTGCTGCAGGGAGACCGTGTGTGCTCACGCAGATAAGCCGTTCAGCCCAGATGTCCTCAGATAAGGTTCAGCGCAAGTTAGAACTAGTTATTTGGCAAGTGCCGCTCTCTAGAAGCTCTGACAGTTTCTTGGAATTTATTTAATGGGTGGACCCTGAGCTTTCAGAGATGCTACATGGCCACTGTAAATGTGCGTGATGGACTCTGTAGCATCTATTCCTGGGTCTGCAAAAAACCATCACCTTCTTTTCAAAGTCAAACCGAGACCTGATCACTTTTGGACAATATTTGCTTGAGGGTGTGCTTGTTCCCTTGTGACTTTGGAGATGATTTCAGGTGTTGCAAGAGCAATTTCAAAAAATGGTTACATCTTTGAGTTAGTGTGTCTATCCTATGGCCAGACTTTACTGCCATGATTTTGCAACATTGCTGGCAAGGTGAGCAGAAGAAACAGTGTAACTTTATTTACCGAGTGCATACCAGTGAGACTGCATATGTGAGGTTAACTTCATGTTAAGACGGGAAAACAAATTTGAAGAAGTTTTTGGGGGAGGTGTGTGCTTTTTGGGAGATGATGCTGAAGCTGTGGAGGTGCTGCGAGAGGGCAGAAGAAAGCTGGTCCACGACAGTACCATTAAGGTAGTGTTTAATGACTGCGGTCCGCTTTAAGCTTGTTTCAGACCAGGAGGTAAATATTATTGTCCATCATCCACAATGACCAGGTCTCTGAGTGGGTGAAAAGGCCAGAATTGAACACAAGTCTATGCTCCTGAAGCCACTGACCTTTCTCCTCAGGGCGAGAAGACAGAGAATACGACCAAAAAGACCTTGTGGAGAGCAGGATGGTTTTCATATCTGCCCCTGACTGAACAGAAATTAAAATGACTGCCTGCCATTTTGTGTCTTCGTTATGAGATGAATAGCAGCTAGTCACAGAGACCGGGTGATCGGTACCAGTGCAGGTGAGGAAGTATGTGTGAATTCAGAGACAACAACGAAAAGAGAGCCTTGGCCAACACTCTTGATTTCTTTCTAGAAATGCCTGCATACTTCTAGTTTAAATAAGTTTGACTTCTTCAAGGTACTAGTTATGAATGCTACGTGCAAGTGAAGGTGAGGTGTTTCCTCCTTTTCTTCAGGTCTCCAAGAAAACCTTACTCCACAAACCCACATGCGTTCACACACATATGCACAGCTCAATTCCACTCACCCCTTACATATCACACAAACCCACACACGTTCACATGCACGTGCATGACTCAATTCCATTCACCCCTTACCCACCACACAAACTCACACATGTTCACATGCATGTGCATGGCTCAATTCCACTCACCCCTCACACCACACAAATCCACACATGTTCACACGCATGTGCATGGCTCAATTCTACTCACTGCTCATACAGCACAGGTACACACACATAGCTACACCACACATACTTCCTCATACATGCACCCTTTATTCTTAAAGGTGCCACACACCTGTACACACCACTTCATACACCACTTACACTTAGCCCGTGTAGGTACTACACATAACTCCATGGGCACCACATGGGTATACCTACCATGCCATCCACCACATATATTCAGCTTACACTCACTTGCTTCTCCACAGGCACCACAAGCTTACACATAATACTTTATACATCACACATACTTCACACACACACACACACACACACACACACACACATAGTACTACATATTCACACTCAATTCCAAGCACCACACATACATAATCAATACAAACTTCACACATTAGAGACATACATATGTATGTATACCACTACACACACACTAATTGCATCACACAAATTCATGCTATGTCCACCTCTACATATGTTCACACATAGGCACAGATGTACCTCAAAAGCAGCATACACATGTAAACATGTAATACTTGTACATGTACTTCACAAGTGTACACATGTTTCCACACAAAGCCCCCCTGCACCTGTCCACACACAAGCCCATGCCTTCGGAGCTCAGAACAAGGGGATAAGACTATCTGTTTTCAGTCACTTGCCCTGTGCTTAATGCATCAAAGTGAGGGTGGGCTTGTCTTCAAGGTTTGTTCCCAAAGTGTGGGAGAGCATTAAGGATGACTCAGCCACTTAACAAGAGCAGCCTTGGCCTTGGTTCAAACTCTGAAGTTGCAATGCCAGTGAAAGTCAGACATTTGCATATTGCTGTGCCTCCTGGGCTCCTGGGTATTTTTTTTTTTTTTAAATTTTGAGCTGTCCTAGGGATGGAGCCTCGGATCTTAGGTGTGCCAGACAAATGCTCCATGGCAGAGCTACCTCCCCAGTCCTCCTTGTACTTCTTTATTTTGGCAGAGTCTCGCTGAGTTGTTCAGGATGACCTTGAACTCATTCTGTAGCCCAGGTAAGCCTTGAGCTCATGACCCTGCTGCCTAACCCTCCTGAGTAGCTGGGATCCCAGGCCTGAGTCACCACCAGGGCCTGTATGTAAGGATAGTTTCCTTAAGATATGCAGGTGCCTGGAGTGAACAGAAGAGGATTCCATTTACTGACTGGGCTCAGGAGCCCTCCCAAAGCCCGCTGCCATCTAGGGTGGCTGGAGAGGGGGCCAGGCTCTGCCTCTGTTTTGGGTTCTCTTCTAAAGTAGGTGAGGTTCATTCTGGTGTGGACAGTAAGACCTTGGCCCCATCTCCTCTCCTTATCTCTGCTTATAATTCCATAAGCAGTGAACTGTATCCTGTGACCTGGATTCAGAGGTGTGTTGCTTCCTCTGCTAGAAAACGTGTCTACACATCTATAGTAATTTTTGGTGTGCTGTGGTAAACAGAAGAGAACTCACTATTCTCTGGAGAAAATGATTGTCCAAAATTATAGCCACAGGAGGGCAAGTTAAAATGTAGCAAAATATTAGTGAGTTAGGCTGTTTGTTGATTCCAATATTCATATAAATGTTTGGTATCCATAGATTTTGTGAAGCTTTCGCTATTTTCCTGCTTTCTAAAATTATAAATGCTTGTGATTTGTGTTGCTATCCTAAATAAATAATCACCTTTATACTTAATTCTAGATTCTTTTTTTCCCCCAGAGAGACTCCTAGGTTACATAAACTCAACTACAAACTCTACCTGAGCCTTTTCACAGAATTCTAGAAAAGAGTAATTGCTTTGTTATTGCCAAGTTCCATCAAAGAACGCTTTATCCAGGGGAGATAAATCCTGGCAGCTCCGTAAGTTTCCTGCTGGCTTCTCAGAAATTCCAAACGTGTGGACTGCAGCCCGTGCCTGTCAGGTTGAGTCAGAGTCCTGAGAAAGTCCAAACGATGTTCCACGGCCACCTGGTGACGGCTCGATGATTTGGGTTCCATGTAGCTTTGCAGAGAAGAGAGAATGAACTAGTCAGTTCATTGGAGTGCCTGGTCTCATTGGCTGACAAGGATGTGTTTTAACTGCTGAGATTTATTAGCCATGTGTCTCTCTCGTGTGTGTGTGTGTGTGTGTGTGTGTGTGTGTGTGTGTGTGTGTGTGTATCTGTGTTCTGGAGAGTAAGCCACTCAGAGATAGGAAATCCGTTCTGTGACCTGGGAAGGCTGCTGACAGGCAGGTCTGGGGCTGTAGTGTGTGCGCTTCAGGGCTCAAACAATCCTAAAGAAAGGGAGAGGCTATTTGTAGACCTCCTGGGAGAACACGTAGTGATCCCACTCCAATACAAACGGACACAATTTCAATTCTATTTGTTCAATAGACTTCCCTCCTTGTATTTGGTGGGAACAGAGATCGCATTTGTCAAGGAAATTGGTTCATGACTGTGACATGTTTTAGTAGTGGGTGTTGAACTCAGGATCTCTTCCCTGCTAAGGATGCACCGTGGCTCCAAGCTCTTCAGTGTGTGACCTTACAAGGAAATCATATGCTGTTTTACTGTTTTGAACTTCCCAAACTTTGAAGGCTAGTGTTCATCCAAAGTTCTTGTATCTGTATGATGCGCAAGGATGATGCCCTTGAATGCATTATTTTAGTACATGCCTCACTCACAGACTTTTTTTACCCTGGGATTATGGAAATAAGTTAAGAAATTTTGTCATCTTGAAATAAGAACCAAAGCATTAACTCCTAGTATATTTGTTCTTACCTATTAGTGTGTGTGTGGTGTATATGTTTATATGGGTTTGTGCATGTGTGTATGTGTGTGTGTGTATGTATGGGTGTGGGTGCACAAGGAAACCAGAGATCAAGGTCAGCTGTCTTCCTCAATTGCTCTCTCTCTCTCTCTCTCTTTCTCTCTCTGTCTTTGAGACAGGGTCTCTCAGTGAACTGAACTCATCAATTTGTCTAAACTTACTTTCCAATGTGATCCAGAATCCACCTATTTCTGTCTGCCCCAGCACTGGGGTTACAGGCATGGAGCTGATTCTTAAACCTTCCTTTATTGGGTTTTGCTTTTATCGGGCCTAGAACTCAAAGGCCACCCACTGAATCATCCTATCTAGAGTTGTACATAACACTAGGAAAGAATGAATGCCGGGAACTCCTAATTAGTATAGATCTTACTACATTTACGGTTGACCGAGGCTACCAAACACTGTGCACTTTCTTCAGACTCCTTGTCTTTCTTTGATGATGACACACATACAGCTTTCTCTACCTCTTTTGCCCATGTCCTACTTTGGAAATCAGGGCACTAGGTTTATAAAACTCTTAGAGAGCAGTTTTTTTTAGTGTCCTTACTAAGTGACTCAGAGATAAGTACCTTCAAATGGTCTTATCGTTCCGAGGTCCAGAGATACTGCTTCGTGGACATTGGCAAGATGCCAAAGACGACTGGATTTTTTTTTTTATTTTATTTTTTGAGACAGTCTTACACTGTAGTGTGATTGGTCTTCAACTGACTATATAACTCTCTCTGGCCTTGAACTCTCAACAACACACCTGCCTCATTCTCCTGGGTCCTGAGATTGCAGGAATATTATTTGCTTAAAATGGGCTATGCTGATTCTTTCTCTGAATTTTAGTTCATGTAGTTTTGAAATAGATCTTGATGTGTTTAATCTGGATTGTTCAAATTTGGTTTAAATTTGAACAATCAGGGAAATTGCTTCATGATAGAATAAATATAAATTTCTTTGGAAAAGCCCTGCAGACTTTGTAAGAATTTCAGCCCTGGAGTGGAGGCTGTGGTGTGGTACCGAAAGGCTGTTTTGAGCAGACACTCACCTATCAACAGTGAAAGCCCTGTGTCTGAGTGTTTCTTGGAGCAGTATCTGCTCACCGCACGCCCTCTGCAGAGGCACACATGGCTAGTGATGGTTGATGAAGTGGAGGAGAGGACTCCTGGTAGTCCTGCCTAGCTCAGCACCCACCCTGAGGTCTCCTGAGGCTTCCATTGCCGGCGTGGTGAAGCTCAGATGCTTGAACTCACACCTGTTACTGCTCTCATTCACTCATAGGTGTTTTTAGCAGAACATCCCCCCAAAGATTATCACATTCTAAATTCCCTCTACTTTTTTTGAGAACTCTGATACCAAATATTCAGACGTACTACAATATTTTTGCTATGAAATGTGGATAGGCATTTAAATAAATGCATCTGAGCTTCTAATCTTTTTCTTGTTTTTAGTACTAATGTTAACAAAACAATATGAGCTGCTCAAGACCAATGGCCATAAACTTGCCAATCTGAAATTTAGTCATCTAGTCCTGTGTGTATACATACATACATACATATACAAGTATAATTTAGTCATCTAGTCCTGTGTGTATACATACATACATACATACATATACTTGTATAATTTAGTCATCTAGTCCTGTGTGTATACACACATACATACATACATACAATACATATAATTTAGTCATGTAGTCAAACATATATGATACATAACTAAAGATGTACTTGTATAACAGACTCACCCAGGAATATGAAATGCTGATTTGACATATTACTAAATTACATAATGGTCTGCTCTGAGTAGTTTATTATACAGTCTATTCAGACCATCCTTATTTAAGTACTGAGGGACATTTAATTCAAGAAGAAAGGTTAGATTTAGTGTTTCCTTTCATCCACATGCACCACATGCAGGATCATGGTGATAATCCATGATTGGAACCCAAAGCATCTAAGGGATGAACCCCGGCTTCGTGTTGGAGAATCTGCCAAAGCTGAGTGGAGCCTGGTACCTGATCCACAGTATTGCCAAGATAAAGAAGCAAACACCCCTAATTTCCCCATTTGCAGAAGGAATTATGGAGACTGTCTTAGGGCTTCTATTGCTGTGAAGAGACACCATGACCCTGGCAACGCTTCTATTGCTGTGAAGAGACACCATGACCCTGGCAACGCTTATAAAAAACAAGCATTTAATTGGGAGTAGCTCACAGTTCAGAGGTTCAGTCCATTCTCATCACGGCAGGAGGCAAGGCGACATGCAGGCAGACGTGGTGCTGGAGAGGTAGCCGAGAGCTCTACATCTGGATTGGCAGTCCTCAGAAAGAACAGGAGAGCCACTGGAGCTGATCTGAGCTCCTGAGACCTTAGACCCCACCCTCTATTGATGGTTCTTCCTCTAACGAAGCCACAGCCACTCCAACAAGGCCACACTTTTTAGTAGCGCTACTCCTTATAGGCCTGTGGGGGTCATTTCTAGTCAAATCACCACAGAGATCAATAGCATTTCTGTGATTTTACAGATAAATATCCACCCCCCAGCTTCCTTGGCTCAGGAGATATGAACCAACAAAACATTAAGCTGTCTCCATTCATGGTACAGATCACTCGATTGCTCTTGTTCCCATTCTTATGTCGAAGTGATTTATGTCTTTTTTCCAAAGACGCCATTGCTAATAACAGTGAGATTAATGGCATTCCTTTTTAGATGAATTGCCAAAACCCACCATGAATTATTCTAATTTGCGAAGGTCGTGGTTAATGCTTTGTGAACGTCCAGTTGAGAACTGTGGCAGTGCGGTTATGTCTTCACACGTGGGACCGACTTGTGGCCATAGAGAAGGCTTTTGAGACACAAATATGAGGGCAAAATTTCTTTCGAAATTCTTTCCAAGAAATGGTAGAAATTCATCTTTTTTTTATAATGGTAAGGGTCAATTAGATTTGACTATTATAGTTTATCTTATCTTGAAAGTAAAATTTTAGGGAAGCAGTAGAAGACCTTTCTAGTTCATGTTGCATGAAAATCTGAATTATCTTCTCAAGCAGAACATTTTTCATAAAAGTTTACACAGACAAGAAAAATTTCAAACAATGCAAAATATATTTGTCTTACTAAAATAGCATGTGCTGAAGGGTAATAGAAGTATAATTGGACAGAGATGCTGCAACACAGCTGAAAGATTCATTTTAAGAGTTTTATGCGGCACAAGGACATCTTTTACCAAACAAATGTCATGACGTGATTATAGTCCTTATTACATCCAAAGTGTTGAAATGTCAGAGTAATTGACACCACATTGTGCTCTGGGGAATAAGATGACATGTTTAGATTTTAATAGACTCGTGTTGGAGACAGAAAGCTTTCTTCCTCCTCCCAATGTGAATCCACACACACACTCTCCATACACACACATACACATACATATGCACACACCCATATCATCAGTGCATCAAAAGTGTGGAAGACCTGAAAATTATATTGTGCAGGATACTTTACTTGGGAGATTCATTCTCTTAGAAATTAATTAGCTAATGTTTTGAGAAATTTATTCCTTAGCGAGCCCCAGTTCTCCGCGTCTTGACTCCCTGCTTTAATCCGGCACCGCTGTCTTGATTGTCAATGTTTTTACTTCCAGTTTGAGGACTGGATCCCAGGGTTCTTTTGGCTTCCAGGACCTCTAATTACAGGAGCTCTTTTTGGACTGATGTCATAAATACACTTCCTTGGGGCTTCTCCCCAGGGATTTAACCTTCTGTTCCATATTCTGCTCCATTCAGCATTCCTGTGCAGACTTGCCTGGTTGTTGTAGCCAAGGCAGCTTTAACTGACTGAGTTCCAGACACAGAAAGGCTGGAGGAGTCACACACTCATGTGCTCACTTTGAAGGACTTAGAACTCTTCAAAGTGTTCAAATGTAAGGGGTGGAGCTTCAAAGCAAGGAGGATTCTTGAAATCTATCCAGTAGAGTTTGCCCATTTTCATAGACTAAAATGAGGTAATTATCTCACACACTACTTTAAAAATATATTAAATTTATATGCAGGAAAAAGGAATTTTGCTAAAGAGACAGTCTCTCATGTCAATGGAAATAAACTTTACACAGAATTTATTCAAATACAGTGTAGTCACTAGTGTTCCAGAGTTTAGACGAGATCTCCAACTAGTCATGCGAAAAGTCTGAAAACACAGAGCTATTTTGGCGGGGATGAAGGCAGTGGTTGAGTAGATGGAGGGCCGGTTACCGCCACAGTAACAGCCATTGGCTCTGCCCTGTGCTTGCTGAGTGAGCTTTAAATCGTGATCTGAAAATCGTGTGCTACTGCAGCCGTTCCCTTTACAGAGAAGGGATTATCAGAATGGTAGCTTCAGTGATAACTTTTTAGTTTTTCTAGGTAATTTTTGATAGAGACATTGCTCAAATCCTGTGTTTCTAGCTTGCACTAGAATTTCTTTCATCAAGACACAGATGTCCTACATGTCTATCTATTGGTCATGAGATAAATATTGCTCAATATCATAACTATTCATTAATTTTATTTTAGAAGATCTATTATTTTCATCTGTCCTTAATTTCCAGACAGTGTACAAACTATAAACTCTCAACTTCAGAATCATTTATTGATTTAATTTGGGGATTTTTGTTCCTTTGAGGCAATGTCCCATGTAGTACAGGCTAGTTCTTGAACTTACTACAGTGCTGGCTTTGAATACCTGGTCTTCCTAACTTCACCTTCTGAAAGCTGTGGTTTCAGGCATGCACCATCACATCCTGCTCATTTAATATTTAAAACAGTTCCAACCATTCTAATTGACTTTATTAAAAACAAAACTCCACGATCAGAGTATCTTTTGTTATTCTGAATTAAAATATTTCCCAGATGGCAAAGAGAATATAAATTGCTCAACATAGCTCTTGCATACATCCAAAGCTTAAGTGAGCTACTAGTTGGCAATTTTTAATTGCTAAAGAACAAAAGTCATATTATTTTAGCCTCTTTATCCAGTTAGCTGTCTGTAATCGTCTCTCGGCTTAGGCAGAGAAAGCTGGCTGAGTCAAGAGAGCAGTCATAGATAGGTTCTGTAGAACCCAGGGTGGAAGTTAAAGAAGCCATGGGAATGTGTGGTCTTGTGACAACTGTGGAATCTGAGTCAAAAACAAAAGGACTGCTGCTGATACCCTGTTGACTCGGGGGAGCCTGCCCAACCCTGGAAGTTATTTCTTTTTTTTCTATCTTTAGGGACTTCAAGCCTTGCCTGAAAAAGAAAGCACTGAACGGCTGTGGGAGGGCACTGAGTCCATCTTCAAACAGAGGAGGAAAGCACGTAACTCTGCTCCTGTGCCATCATCTCCTCTTGGACACTTTTGCCTCTGGGAAAACAAAAACCTTGTGTTAGTTCAGCCATTTTACTAAACAGACAAGGCTTTGCTTGTGGTGTAGACGCTTGCTTGGAGGCTTTTCAGGGCTAAGGTTCGCCCAGATTTGGGTTCTGTCTGTTTTCTAGGAAAGCAGCTCTTCAGAATCTGACGGTGCACCCCCTCTCCGACTTCCCGGAGTCTGACGGCGCATCCATCCCCTCTCTGATTTCTCAGTCTGATGGCGCACCCCCTCCTGACTTCCCAGAGTCTGATGGCGCATCCCCTCCTGACTTCCCAGAGTCGGACGGTGTACCCCTTCTCTGATTTCCCAAAATCTGACGGCACACCCACCCCCTCTCTGATTTCTCAGAGTTTGATGGCGCACCCCCTCTCTGATTTCCCAGAGTGAGTCTGACGGCGCATCCCCTCTCTGACTTCCTATGAATTATGCCATCCCAAGCCACTGACTCATTTCTTGCTATCAAGATGTAAACCCTGAGAGCGGCATCCTCCTGAGTAGGTGTGATTACATTTTACGACAACAGCACACAGCACACGTGTGCAACCTGAAGAGTCATTGACCCTCGGGGTCAGCTCGTGAGCCTGCCCATTCACACGTCAAGTGGCTCATCGCACATTGCGGCCTCACAATACCAATAAGCAGGAAGGCAGGGGAAATTATTCACGGTGAGGCATTACATCACTGCAGACATTCCAGGAGGTGTAAACTTCAGGTGTGAAGTCCGTAGACTCTGAACAGTGGTTAGGCTGGCTTACAGCACCGGATCCTGGAACCAACACAATGGTATTCAAACTCTTAGTTGTCTTTTCTTTCAAGACATCAACCCCTTTCTAATTACTCCATTTTTTTGTCCTCCTGGATTGTTCCTTTAGAGATGTACCAGATAGACATTAGACCCCGAGCAATATCATACTGTGACTCTACCTACCCTGCCCTCTGCTAGTCAAATGCTAAACTATTTTGAGGTCAAGTGCTTAAGTGCTATAAATTAGCAATGATCAGTGTGTGGGAGGAATGGGGCCTTAGAATTAAATGATGCTGGGCTCAGGGAGTTACCTTCTATTTTCTATACAGTATTATTGAACCATTTTAGTCTTAAATTACCTTTAAAGCATTTATGACTCATAGGATCATTTTGAAGATGGACTGAGAAAATGTGTATAAGGGAACGAGGGGTCAAGAAAATTCACTTTTTCAGTTTGCAGGTGGTCACTCGCAGGTGATCAGGCCCTGGATGCCCAAGGATTCGGGAGCAGGGATTCTGAGTATGAAAGATACCCACGCCGTGCAGATGTGCTGGGAAGATGCCTTTGCGAGAGGTTTCCATGTTCAGTATATGGACGTATCTGTGTATCAAGCCCTGATGTAGATACAGACGCTCGACCGTGAATGCTGGCCTTGCGTTGCTGAACCTCCTTTTGTCTAGACTGGCCTTTGGCCCAGGAAACTGACTCATTCCTAAACTTTATCTCATGGCTCCTGTTTATCTTCTGCTCTTTGGCCTTCGGGGAGATTTAGCCACTGGGGAACTAAGCAGGTGATCTTGATGTAAGGTAGATTGCCGAGAGGTGTGCTGACAAGGCGGCTGCGCTTCCAGCTGAGCTGGAGAACAGGGCAAGGAGTGAGCTGACCTCTCTCCTGGATCCCACAGGGCTTTTTGTGCTGGTTTTGAATGGTCATTTATCAAGGTGAAGGTCCCTGGATAACTCTCCTTTTAGGTTCAATAACTACTCCTTCCCTTCGTGGTTTCGCACTTAGGGTGAGCATGTGTCACTAGCTCAGCATTTTCATGTGACAACATAGGGGGTTTCCGATACCCAGACCTCTGCAAATAGACTTCTGTAAGTAAACCCTCCTTAGACCACCCTAATCTGAGCATGTCATCTGTTCTCGCAGAAATGCTGGTTTATACACCATGTTCACAAGGCGGGATTGGAGAACACTGATTCCTGTAACCCAGGTTCACAAGGGTCGTAGACTTGGCTTCCAGAACTCTCAACTGTGTTCTATAGGACAGGTTTCAACTTGAAGTGTCTCGGAATAACAATGTTATTGTTTAAACATCTTCTGTGATCTTGCTTCACCAGTGCAACTTGGAAAACAGAATCCAAACCCCCAAGAGAAAGACGAGGACTGGCCCCAGGAGGGGATATGGTCATGTGGACCGCATTGAAGAACATTTGAGGAACTAAATTTGGATTTTACTTTGATTGTGAGCCTTACTTGGGATGAATGTCACCTTCAGTCTCTCTGACTACTGCCCCTGGGGTGTAAAAATTCCTCATAACTCTTACACTAGGCTTTGAAAAAGTCCCACGTTGGACTACTAAAACTAAAAGACAGCATTGAGACAGCATTTACTAATGCTGTGAATTCAACCCTTGTTATTGTTCTTTAAAAATAACATGAGAGTGGGATGCTGGGAGCAGCTTCTAGTCCGACAAGGATGGCTATGGGTCCCTGTGAGATCTCCAGGGTGGCAGCGCCATGCGGCCGGGGGAGTCAGGCGGGCGGTTACGGAGGATAAAAGGCTCACAGGACATAGTATTATTTAAAGAAGAGGGAGACATTTATTGCTTAAAGAAGAGAAAAACAGAGAGACATAAGATAAACATAGAGAGAACAAAGACACACCTACACACAACATGAGACAAGCACACAAGAGAGAGAGAAGATGGCGGCGGGGGAAGGTCAGAAGTGGCTGGGGTGGGCGTAGTTAGTTCTTAAAGTGACAGCAAAAGAATAACACTTGTCATATTTACTTGGTTCTTTTCTTTTTGTTTTGGAAAAATTCAATTCATCAACACTAGTTCGAAAATTTGAAATGGCACCAGAGGTCTGGGATGATAGTGGTTGTAATAGTTTGATGACAATCAGGAAATGAGGTTCTAGTTAGGCAAACCTGAAAATCCCGACGTCCAGATGGGATTGTAAATGGGTAAAGAGAAGTATATGTCCCTACTCTTAATAAAAGACCCATCAATGTGGCAGAGCAGCATTGCACAAATTCCTTTATACTCTCCTCAAAGTTTGAACATTTTATTCACACGTGAACTTTGAATATGTCTTCTAACTGCCATTTAGGGTGGGATTGCTCATTTCTGGCAGTCTTCCTTCTTGCTAACACACTGTTCTTACACCAGGACATGTTTCACAGAGAACTAGCAATATTTGAGCTATTTGCCTTTTGGTCGGCATCACGTTGCCTGGGAGCCTAACAAGTCTAATGCTATGTGCTCATTACACTTTTTCTTGCAGGGCAAACGATGCAGTTATACCCATATGTGAACCCAGGAGGAGAGGATTAACTGCCTTACTGCTGATGGCAAGTAATGCAAGATAATCCAAACAGAAAAGATTGATTTTTACACAGTAGCTCAGAAATGTTTGTTTTATTAGATGACATAATACTCGTTAAACAGAATGACCTCACCCACTGTTTGCTATCTGTTTTCTAAAATGCTTTTTTTAATCTTCCCATGAGAAAAATCTCCATTGTTTACTGGGGCTGCTATAAATTGTTTTTTACATTTCTTTAGATTGATCCCCCCCAATCTTCTTTTATGTAGACTTGTTGTTGATTGATACACATATTTAGATGTTTAAAGATTCTTTAAGAAAATTAGTTTTCCTCCCTCCCTCCCTTTCCTTTCTGTTCTCTCCCCTCCTTTTCCTTTCCTTTCCTTTCCTTTCCTTTCCTTTCCTTTCTTTTTCTCTCTCTCTCTCTCTCTCTCTCTCTCTCTCTCTTTCTGTCTTTCTTTCTTTCTTTCTCTTGAGACAGGGTCTTACGTAGCTCTGACTGGCCTCAGATTCTCCATGTGGGTGATGGCAATTGCAGACTTATCATGCTCCTGCCTCCAACTTCCTGAGTGTTGGAGTTATAGGCATGAACAGCCGTGCACAGTATCTTTTATTATAATCATTCTTATGCTTTCCCATGGTGGTTTCAATTTTTCAGGTCACTAGTGATAAGTGATGCTGATACCCATTCATAGCTATAGACTTCTGAGTATGTTCTTTTGAGAAATATCTATAAAGATTATCTGTGACTTTTCATTAGGGTGTTTGTCTTTCTGTGAACGAGTTCTAAGTAACCTATTATTTTCTGAATACAAGACCCTTAACAGATACATAATTTACAAATACTATCTCCTATACTATGTATTGTTTCTATTTTCAGCTACCTGGTATAGCAAAAGGGATTATGGATTTGAGACAGTTCAGTGAATACACTTTCTCTCTATCACACACATTTATAGTTTTAGCTCATACACTTACCACTATGATCCTCTTTGAGTTCATTTTCTTTTGAGTGACAAGAATGTATCCAATTTCTTTTGTATAAGGAATACCTGTATTTCTACATATGCAAATGAGAACTAAAAAATAAATGCCTTCCTTTAAGATTACTTAAATCTTTAATTATCCTTATATTTAATTTGATGTAGAATGAATCAAAAGGCACAAAGGTGAGGTTTTATGTGCCATCTTGTAAGAATGTATTAAATTCATTCACAGACATGGTCTTGGAATGGATTGTCACATAATGGTTTCGCTGAACTGTAAAGTGAAATCTATACAGGGTCTTAAAGCACAGTATGAGTGGAAATCTTGCTTAACACACTCCCTGGCTTTAGTGTATAGACGACTTATTTAGCTTTTCTTCTGTTGAGCTCAGCATTCAGAGAGATTTCTCTAGTTGACAGGCAACAAATGTTATGGTGCACAAATATAATAAATAATTTTTGCAGGTTTGGGAAAATCTATTTACTTAGTTGCTCTTATACTGGTTTGATTTATACTCTTATATTCATATAGAAAAAAGTATATTCAAAGACACCAGACACCACCTTTGAACCACTGAGGGAGACCCACTGAGTATTATGTATTCAAGTCTAGTTGTCAGCATGGATTGTTGAAGGTCACTAGAGAACACATAGACATTATACTTTCGAGAGCAATCCATCATAAATCAGCCTTGTCTGTGCTTGCTCAATATTCACTCCTAAATAAATATTCTCTCAGTTATTGATGGCATTGGCTTCAGAAAGACCTTTGC